TGGTTGCCAAGGTGGTTTTGATATTACTGCAGTCAAAAGCAGGTGTTGAAACAGATGGCATCGCTTTGTGTATCACATTTAATTTACCGTTTAGTGCTTTTGCTGAGCACTCTTGACAAAGCACTTTAAATTAAATTGAATTTCACTTAAGTGAATCATACAGACATTCACTTCACTCACTCAGCCAAGCCAAGGCACAGCACAGTGAATGTGACACCTGACTGTTTTGGAACCAATCGCTGCTTAGCAAACACAATGGTCACATTTTTCATTAAGGCTAAATATCATGACCGGCTTAGTGTGGCATTTACATTTTCCCCGATGACATGAGTTTAATTTGCCCTTTTTAATTACCCAACTTAATCTCATACTAATCCAGTGATATTGCCATAACAAGTAACGCAAGTATGGCTGGTTGGAAGACAAAGCCTGTGATGGTGAAAGAGTTTGTGTTTGGTGGACCTGGCGTTGCCACCTCCAGTCTGCTGGTTGGCCCTGACAACACAACGCCACAGTGCCAGGCTGTCAGTGTGCCAGGCTCAGGGAGCAGCTGCCAGGCCAAACCAGCGGGCACTAATTCAGCCAGCCACAGGGAACCACCCCCCTGCACCCCTTCTTCTTCCAGGCCCTCCCTGTGGCTACAACGCCCCCTCATCCATACAGACACACACACACATACACACACACACACACACACACACACACACACACACACACACACACACACACACACACACACACACACACACACACACACACACACACACCTTATACAATGCAGGCTTTAATTATGACAAACTTGCCAAAAGCTAATCTTCAATCTTTTTAATCAAAGACATTTGTAGCCGAGGGGGTTGCCAATATTCTAATGACAAATTACCAGAAATTCTGGTGAATAAACACTTTTTCCTTTGACCAACAGTGGCCTTTCTCAATCAAGCAAAGCCTGAAAATCTTCCAAAAGCCAGCAGTACAAAAAAAATCTGGAGGACAGGTTTTCCTTTTGAAACCCTCTGATGCTCTTGTAAAAAGATCAAACTACATGAGTAGATTCTCACAGATGTGGCCAAAGGTATCATATCGAAAATTTACTTTAATCCCCACATATTTGACCACAATCAAAGTAAAAAGTTGAATTATTCCTGAACATTACAAGCTCATCGGGAGTCTTGCATCATTAATTTGCATGCTTGTTATTAACACATGTCCATGTTCATTGCACAAATCATTAACATCCCGCCCGTTTTGTCATTATCTCCCGTGAGTGAGAGCGCAGTCCCCGAGCCCCGGGGACTGTGGCCAGGCCAGTGACTCTGCGGTTGGTTAAGTGACGGCCAAAATGCTCAGAAGCGTTCAGCTGCTCTTCTGATGCGAGTTTCTGTGGTTAAATCCTGCTGTGTCCTCGGCCTCTCCCCATGAGCTAAGCTTGAGGTTGGAAGAACAAACCTTTTTCTTTGCAGAGAGTGGATGGATTAGAGTATTTTGGTGGCTAAAGAATTACCTGTAACAAGAATGTCTTTGAATCCAGCATGGGATCTTTGTTGCATGCTATCCGATCTCCTCCTTCCCTCCAGGACTTTTCCAGCTTTATTGAACATATCACACAAAAACAAACTAACATCGTACAGCTGAAGAGTGACATTCCAAACACCATTCAAACACATTCTCATCTGCTCCTTCACCTGTCACTCATCCTCTATCTCAGCTCGTCCGTCCCAGCTGAAGGTCACAATATGGCTGATTCCTTTGGAGAGGCCTTTAAGGTCCCAGTGCTCCATGCTGCCAGAGTAAACATGGCACAGCAGTTCATAAAGATGCATATTGTGTGCCTGCATCTGTGTATGTGTGTGTTTGAATGAATGCGCGCATGTTGAGGGGTCTTCCTGAGTTTGGTTTCCTGACTGCAGGGATACATACATGCCATTGGTAAGCCTGGGTGAAATATTGATGCTGTGTTTTGTTCTCATTTTTGCTGTACTTGAGAGGCCATCTGGGTAGGTCAGCCTTTCTCACGTTAAATATTCATCCTCCCGTTGAATACGGCCAGGGGAGAGCGAAAGAGGGTCATTTTGTAATGTGAGAGAAAGAAAGGGGGAGATGTGGTGGTGGTGGTGGTGGTTGAGGGGGGAGTTGAGCAGGATTCAACAATAGCTTTTTCCTAACAGATGGAAGATTGGCTGCAGGGATATAGTTCAGTGTCATAGTGGAACCTGATATCTGATTATATTCCTCCCTCCCTATAAATACAAAGGGATTACATGTGGTTACATGAATAATGAAAATGAGATTATTTTGTTGACACGCGTCTAATTTGTTGTGCCACAGTTGTGAACTGCTGAATGCCGTCTATCAATCTGTCTCTTTGTACCGCACTACTCAGGTAAGACCAACAGATCATGTTCTCTCAACAAGCCAATCAAAGAAGTCGCTTCTGGCCAATTCTGCCACCTAAGGCTCAATTCAACTCCCTCATGAAATAAGTGGTTGAAAAATGTCTGTGTGGCAGTACTCGGTCACGAGTAAAGCTCACAAACAGTCTGATTACTGACAGTCCAGTGGGCCAAACTCTGTGATCACCTTTTCCCTCCCTTCAGCAGTATTAAAGAAATGCACCGCGATCTGAATGCGCACTTTGTCAGCGAACTCAATGACCGATGTGCTTAGAAGTGCAAACCAGCTTACAACATGACAATTCTTACACGCTGCCATTTAAAGGGAGTTGTTTTTGTTATTGGTAAATTATCCCTCTGTTCTTAATAATTAACGAAAGCCTATTAATTATGAACAAATTTGTAGCCTAACACTCATCAAGAGGAGGACGGGTTGCCTAGGAGCATTGGCCTGTTCTGAATACCTTGTCACTTTGGTGTTGTTGGTAACTGGAGTATGACAGTCATAAGGTGGAAAATAAATAAGATGGTGGGTTGGGGGGCAGCAATACCTTTGTTATGTGTGCTGTCACAATGGGCGCCACAAGCCCAGGTGATCAATAATGAAGTCTGGCATGTGTCCGTTTGGATTTGTTGCTGTTGATAGACCAAAATATCTGCAGTGTTGTGCGTGGTTCAAAACTGTAAATAGGAAAGCATGTGAAACATTTGAAAGCGCTAATCACTGTTTGCGTGTGACCTATTTCCATTACACCTTGAGCAAACAGCGGCCCCCCTGGTTCCCACTGCTTAGTCAAAACAATAATCGGCCCTACATGGTTGAACCTCCATTTTCGGATGCTAAATCAACACAGCTGGACATCCTAAAGTTTGTGTTTATGTCTGTGCGCTACCTTTCCGCCTTGAGTCTAAAAATAGATTGGCCGCATCCTGCTGTGATGCTGAAGGTGCAGTCATCTTTCCTCTCTGAAGGACACAACACTGTCTGAAGTTTGGGAGCAGAGGGAGCGGGGGGGGCTGGGTGGGAGGGAGGGAGGAAGCGGTGACTACCGTGTGACAAGCGCCCTGTTCCTTCCTCCCAGGCCTGAGAAACAGGAAGTGCTGCACATAAGGCATTATTGTGACGGAGAGGAAATGCAAGGTCCTCTAAAATAAGAGCCCCAATCTGGTTGTCAATGACAGGAGCCTGTCCTCCACAGCCCCACAGAGACCTGAACCCCCTGACACATCCCCCCCCCCCCCACACACACACACAGCTTCACTGTTGAGTGATGCAGACATATACAATAAGCCTCCATTCTGTATCATGAGAGTAACTTTGGGAGGATTTGAGTGCAGCAATTTAACATCAAATGAATCAGCATTAAGATATTGTGTTAAACCTTTTGTTCCCTGCTGAACCCACCCACATACAGATTGAGCAACAAAAGCGCTTCAAAGGGTTAAAGGAGGCATATGGGTAGGATCCATCGTGCTTGTGTTTAGCAGAAGCTGAGGAGGAGCTGGTTGCTAAGAGAGATGCAAGGCTTTATGCCGGGCTCCCTCCCAGTTAATTAAAATCCTACTTTATCTGTTTCATGCTTTCAATTAGAAAGCTCTGGAAAGGGCCCAATCCTCTGCATGTAGATAACCATAGCAATAAGATGTGATTAATATAAGGGGGCCCCATTTGCGCTGCAGGCTGCAGCAACGCCCTGCTGTTGTGTCCATGCCTTGTTTTGATCCCAGCCACCAACCTCTGATGATCCAGGCAAGGAGGGCTGAACAGTGGCTCTCCACAAAGTCTGCAGGGCACCTCAAGCAGCAAATTACATTGACCAGATCTGCTTTTGTAGGACATCACAGGTGCTGGCCAAGTGTGATCATGTACATCTGAACTGCAGCGATGACTGAAGCAGCAGAGTCAGTATCACTGTTCAGCTGGTGCCAAGTCTAATGGTTTTTTTTTGTTGTTTGCCAGTAATCCAAATAAGTGTCAGCTAGCAATGTTTTTGCTCAATTAACAACAGATCCATCAATGCCCGTCTCAGCTTTTCACAATCAATTAACTGCAACACAGAAGCCAAGCTGTATGGGTAATCAATCACGCTAAGCTTAGCACATTATGGTTTAATGGGCATGCGGTGCTGTTTTTGGTTGTAGTTTGTGTCCCACCAGCCAAAGCTATTGTTTCTTGGCACTTTGAAGTACTATCAGAGCACATTCAGCATGATAAAAATAATTAATTATAAACACTATATCAGTGATCTGGGTGTTGCTATTAAGAGTGCAATCAATTATCCCTCAATCAAAAACAAAAAAATATAAAAGTGAGAGGGATTTACAGACAAAAAGCTCATAAAATACAAGCAAATATAGAGACAAGGACGCCTTTTGTCAAAAACAAAACAAATATATTTTAAGTAAACTAGAATACAATGTCTGAACAACAAAATCTTTTTCTCTTATTTTTTCAAACATAAATGATTTTTCACAAACACCTGGTATCAAACAAACCTTTGCACAACACAGAATATTTACTGCCATCTACTGGTCACTCTATGAAATCACAAAGTCTGGAACAGCAAACATTTGTAAGGCATGTCCTTCTATGGCCTTGTGACTCCTCCTTTAATATCTGAAAGACCTGAATGACTGCCTCAGTGAAGATGTGAGGGACTGGGGAGTTGGTGAAGAAAGGTCTCCTCTCAAGCCAGAAGTGTCGTTGGGCAGGTCAGTAGCACTGGTGCCAGGCAGGGGGTTCACGTTTTGGGATGGTGTGAAGCTGGGGCTAGAGGGAGTCATCTCTGCCCTGCCTGGATTTTTCATGACCCCAGTGCTCTCTCTGGGGTTATGGGCTGGTGGCACCTGGAGAAAAAAGCCTCTTCCTATCGCAGGTAAGGAATGTAGGCTTGACTGGTCTTTCCCAAGGGACCTTCCTCTACCTAGTGTGTCAATCAGCAGCTCTGTGCATCCTCTGCCTACACCTACAGACAAGGGACTGACAGGGGGCATTTGTTTCCCAAAATCTGACATTGAGGCTGTGACTGGGGCCTGAGCTGGCGGGACAGGAGAGGCATGGACATCCACCGAAGAAACACTAGTGACCTCTGCAGCGAGGAGAGGTTCCAGTTGTGCTGATGAAGGTGACTTCACATTTACAGGTCCAAAGGAGTCTGTCTGTTTCTGGCTATCCTCCTCTGCTGTAAGTGAAGTCTGGGATGGAGATTTGGTTCGGGGGTTGAAGCGAGCAAGCAGACCGTGCTCTGTGACAGGGTAGTGGTTAGCGGCCCACTCCTGACGCTCATGGTGCATTTGCTGCAGCTGCCTGAGCTCTCTGGGCAACTCCAACACACTCTCCTGTGGATGTAAACAAGTAGACGGGAGGTGTACCTATTAGCCTGGATGCTTCTGCATTACTGTGTATTAGAAAAGAGACAGTTCTGGTCATCAATTCAGACACTACATAACTTAAAATCAATACTGAGGCGCTAACCAAAACATTAGTGTACTTAACAGCTTAAATACATATCAATAATCTTTGTGTCAGTGTCAGTGTCAGTGTTTGACAAAACTTTTATATGTTTTGGTACATGCATACACAGGCAGGTAATGTGTGAAATATTTATTAAAAAAAATATATAATCACATGGATCTTCACTTCATTATTTGTTTACTTTCAATGTCAGACTAGTTAACTACCCAGAAGGAAAAGGAAGTTTAGATGTCAACTCTTTGAATGGACCAGGGTAAAAGGGAACCAATCGGAGGCCAGCCTAGATGCAGAAATATTGTTTTTCTTTTACTTAATTGGTCATAGAACCGTGGCCAGAAAGTACAAAGTGGACAAAAAATAAAAATAAACAACCCATTTTTGAAAACTCACCATGCTGACATGCTCCAGTTCATCAGGTTCATAGTGGCTGCTGTTGAGGTATGAATCCACCAGGGCCATATAGTCTGTCATGAGAGCATCCAGCAGCACTAGTCTGAGAGGCTGCAGGTGGATCACTGACAGAGCCATGACCTTCAGCAGGGTTACAGGACATGGACGCTTGTACCACATCTCCTTTTCCTCCTGTAAAAACACACACCTGTGATTCAAGCACATACAGATACAACTATATAGTAAAACACCTTTCCTGCCGTACCATGAGGATGTCGAGATAGGTGTGTGTATGTGTTGTACCTTGGTGAGCTGTGACTTCATCTGAAGGGATAAGAGCTGGGAGGAGGGCACCTTCAGATGGTGACTCACCACTTCCTGCAGAGTACTGACTCTGTCAGGCAGAAATCCGCCTGTCTCTGAGTAGAAGCACATGACATCTGCCACCTTAACACATGCAGAAAAAAAAACACAAGATAAACATGGAAACTGTAAGTGAGACATAGGCCACAAGTCATGTTCCCTTCTGAAATGTGTGGGCTACTCTATATATATCAGTATGTATTTACCTGTGTGTCAAAGACATTGGTTAATTTTACTCCAAACTGTGCAATCAGACATCCAGCGATGGCTCGGCAGTCATGAATCACCTGTACCAAATGTAAAATCAACACAGATGTTGTGATAGTAATCAATGCTGTGACTAAAGATGATTTCTAAACTGCTTACCTTTAATATGTGCTTATTTTCCAGGATCATGGAAAGACCATTCTTAAAGGCCCGAGCTCCGAGTAACAGAATATCAAACAGGTATACCTTGTTTTTAGTGGCAATCTACAAAAATGAAGGTGAGCCAAAGTTATTGTTTTAAAGAGAAACGTAAGGGAAGAAGAAAGGCAGGAGGGCCGGAAGGAAGAAATCAACAAAGCAGGAATTTAATCTAGGTGTGTACTTCACAGGACTTCTCACCTGCAGCCAACACAGTCTCCCATGCTGATATATCTCAACTCCATCAGCTCCCACACCGATCACAGACTGCTTCTTGATGTGCATCACCTAAATGATGGCAACTCGAGATTACGTTTTTAAGATAAGATGTCTCAGTACACACACATCTCCACTGTTATTTACTGTCCATATAAATATGCATTCAGAAAAATATGTCAAAAACACTTCAGTGATTTATGCAACAGAAAAGAAACTTTAAATCAACATACAGCAGGTCCAAACTTCTCATGAAACTCATCAATGACTACAAAGTTGATATACTCCTCATCATCTTCATCTTCATCTGCAAAAAAAGAAGAGGAAAGTGATGAATAATTTCTATTTGAAAGACATGAATTTGAGGCTGTTAGTGGGAATGTAGCTGTAGGGAAATATATGAAAGACTACAGAGAATGTCCTTTGTATTTTTTTAATAAAACTCACCCATTGTGATTGTCTTCCTGTATGGCTGAAATTTTTCCACAGTCAAGTGGTCCTCAAGTCTGTGGTCATTGATAGTTCTGTGCAACACATTGCTTGTTACAGTCTATGGCCAGTGTGTTGTCACCAGTAGTGACACATAATCTGTTTCTTACTTACCCATTGTCACTGTTCACTTCATTGGTAAATTCCACTGTTGATTTCATTACAAAAAAACGCCAAGTTAGCAAGCTATCAAAACTTCAGTATTATAAAAATTCAGCCTATTTTTTTCTTAACCATCACTTGTAATGAGTGTACTCACCGTTGAGAATCTCATGTCCAAAGAACATTTTCGAGCCAGGAAATTTACAGCCATTACTGCCACTAACAACTGACGCAATATACAAGAAATAACGTCAATTACTTTAGCTATCAACAATAAAATGTTTGAGGCCTGCAGGAAGCAAATGCCTATTAAGAAAACCAATATTAACTCAACAATGTGATGAAAAAATGTTCTAACCGTCCGACAAAATCAGCGTTTTGTTGGGATTTATACGCTGGACGACGCCAAGGTAGGACGAAGTCTTGAGAGTCAGTTTGACGCGTTTTCCCTTGAGGACATTCATGAACTGGATGTCGTGCACAACCATTTTAAAATCATGAAAGAGTTGTTTCAAGCAGTAAAAAACAACAACAGTGAAGCTGCTGTATAAGCCTATCAACGTTTTTCCGTCAGACGAAGCAACAACTAGTTCGGTTGGGTTTCCAATTTGTCATTTAGCTAGTTAGCATAGCTACCGTTGCAAGCAAATCAACGAATTTAACGTTGCGTTTAAAGCTCCCCGTTATTTCCACATTCAGCTTTACAGCCCCTGGCTAACGGGACCAAAATAACACCAGTTGAAGGTAATATCTTTTGTTATGATATAAATGTATTCATGCTATTATATACTTCGCTAACCAAACTGCACATCAGCATATAGTGATGATTTGTGTAAATCTGCCATTTGAATAAGTTGACAGTTTTTTTTATTTGTATCATATTTGGACAGATATGAGTTGAAGATAAGGTTAGTGTGTTTCAAACTGTTTTCAATAGGGTTGTGTTACTAGACGTCAGGCCAGTCCAACAAATGTACGTTTTCGAAAAAATCAGGACATCAAGCTAAAAGTCAAGATACTGTCAAATCCAAGACTGTTAACAATAGGTCACAAGCCCTACTTTTCTAAATTCTGCTCAGTGTTGAGTGAGGTGGTGGAATAACAACAGGAGCAGTCAGAGCTTGTACAGTAACGACTGACTACACATTAATGAAACATTTTAACACTGTAGCTATAATTTAAAATATTAAAGGCCACTATATTTCCAAGGTGGTCAGTGAATAACTCAAAATATCCACCAGGGGGTGACCACAGCTCAAGCACTGAGCTAAATGCTGTTAGTCCCAGGTCTGTCACTCTTTTGAAGGAAAGGAAAAGGCCCATTCATTTTAATCCTCATTACAAAGTACATGCATGTGACTGTGAAGTCTCTCTGTGTATGTGGATTTCATATCTGTGCACTGTGTTGGTCTGTGGAGGCCATCTTTCAGACATAAATCACCATGCTGACAACTGCAGCAGCAAATGGCTGACTACTAATTTGCCATGGTGCATATTTTACAGCAACATCAGACATCAGGGCTGATGCCTGAGCTGCTACCTGATCATCTTTAATCATCTCTGTTCAGGTATGTGCAGGAAACACTCTTGATATTTTACTTTTGTACTGGATATTCAACATATTTGTATCAGATGCAAATAAAAAACAATAATTTGAAGGTAGTACATACACTTTTCTTAAAACAATTGTAAAAAAGATGATGAGAATAAGAACAACAATGATGCACAGTGCATGAAAACCACAGTGATTTCTGTTATCCAAACCTTTTAATTGTCTTTCAGTGTAATATAACCCACACAGACAGAAGGCTGACTCTATGAAAAAAAAAGACCCATAACTATAACTCTCTTAAACACATTTGACACTTGTTTCTTTGTTGCTGCCTTGTTCAGTTAAAGATATGGAAATATGATCCAAATATGATTCAAATTTATAACATAATGTCAGAAGCAATGCTTTCTTCTTTAGTAGAAGTACATGTCCTTTGTTCAGTAGTTCACCTTTCAGTTTTTCTTATCAGGATTTTTATTTGTTGTTGGTTAAAGGTTGGGTGGTGACTCACAACGAGGCAATGGTCACAAGTACTGTAACACAAACCCCCAGCGGTAATGTATGCTGCTTAACTCAATCCTTGGAAATTCATGCGTTACTTTTGATTTAAGCAATGGATTCCTGTCTTCATTACTGGGCTCAGGGTCATGACAAAAAAAAAAAGAAATCAGATTTAAATGTGTGTCTAGCCACATGGGGGCAGGCTTAAGGCATAGCTGGCTAGTCTGATAACAACAGAAAAGGGTACAGATAAGCTATCTTATCAGAGTTAGCCAGCTGCTAATACACAGGATCTCATGTCTTAATTTTCCCTGTGGAGACACATGGATTCAAACCACTGTTTGTCTGTGGACAGCACACAGGGAGCCACCTAATCAAAGGGAGGATGCTCTGGGGTGCAGGAGGCACAGAGCTGTCTCAGACGTTATCACAGACTGATGTACAATGCACCTTGTCTGCTTTGTCCTATGGTGTGTTACTCCTGAGCTTATATGCTCAGTTACAGTCAAGTGAAAAGGGGCAAACACAAAGCTTAAACTGGTTGCTTTGTGTGCAACAAAAAGCTGTGATTAACTATATTTCTAGTGATGTAATTTGTTAGGGGTTTCACATTATCTATATTTATATGTAGGTGTGAAGTGACGAGCACTTCTTGTGAGTAAGAAGGTGCTTTTTGTAGGAGGGGAAAACATTCAACTTAAGAATTAAGGCACTAAAATTGGAAAAAGAAATTCATTTCATTAGGAGTATGATTTAAAAACCAACTCTGATGTGTGAATGTCATTCATCGCACTAGATTAACACTGACCTAAAATCACTAAGATCAATATTTTCCATGTCTCTTGGGTGTTTAACAAATCAAATCAAAATGTTAACAAGTGTATTGTTTTTCATTGGCATGCGGTCCACATTATACAGACTGCCTTATCACAGAGCTCAGTCCTCCACCCGGGATGAGTGTGATAAGACTCGGCAGACTTCTTAAAGCAGTCGAAAGACTTCAGGAAACATCTTCCTTGGTCCACCTACAATAATGTTATCCCTCATACAATATAAGCCATAATGGAACCTACATCCACTGTTATCTGTAGAGGAAGGGCCACCCTTTCCTGTTCTGCAGACTGAACAAACAAGAAGTTTTAGTAAACTACCAGAGGGATCACATCATCTCACAGATTTGCAGAAGTTTTATTCAGGATGTGAAGAGACCTGGACCCTGATTTTTTTATGTGAATGTAATGAGATTTTTTTTTTTTATTTCTAAATATGATTTGATGTAGGTGTGGAGGCTTAAATTAGTACAGTTTCAGAATTACACTTTCAAATGAGTGAGGTGATTGTAAAGTGTATTAACTGCTTCTCATTTTCTTGGATCTTCCCCTCTAGAGAGAAACTACTCCTCTGATTAAAGTTGTAAATTATAAAACCTGTACGATCACGACTTTGGACGCAAGTAGTAACGACTGATGAAGTGCAGAGCCCACTCTTGTGTGTGTGTGTGTGTGTGTGTGTGTGTGTGTGTGTGTGTGTGCGTGCGTGTGTTTGTGTATGTGCGCGCGCGCGCGTGTGACAGAATGAGTGACAAGCTCGGCAACAGCACTGCCGCCCACTCACACACAAGCTGGGTGAATCTTAATTGTGTAATGTTCATTGACGAGTCAGCACAATGCTGCTGAGACCGCGGAGGCGCACTGATCCGAGCAGAGCGATGAAATGCTCCCAGCGAGGAGAACCCAGATGGACAGCCTAGTACAGCCGCTCGTCGCCCAGTACCTCGCCATGGGATGTCAATCAAAAGAAAACAACCAAAACGAAAGTGTGTCGCCGGACGAGAAGGGAAAGGACGAAACGTAAGTCAGATCATCTGCTTTTTTTTGTCTTTTTTTTTTTTTTTTTTTTTTTTTTTTTTTTTTTTTTTTTCTTTTTGCTGAAGAGTTTCAGGTGTGGTTCTGGCGATAATGTGCGCACTCCTTCAACAGTAACTTGATCATTTCGGTCGTCAAGGTTGATTTTATGATGATTTCTCTAGCTGTGAATAAACAGGTGTCTTGATTTGTTGTTAATACGGTGCCAAAAATTGAATTGATGAAGTATTTTACGCACAGAAGCGCCACAGGTGAACGGAGTCTTTAACCTCAGCTGTTACTTTCCGACCTGCTACACTTCCACTGCTTGTGCTTGAAGCAAATTCCTTCTTGTTTACTGCTCACCCAACAGTTTAAACTGGATGTCCGCAATCAACCGGTATTTCCCTAAGTTAAAAGGGAGGAAATGAGAACAATGAATAGCAAATTCCCAGGGTGGGGGTTGTTAAATTCAAACAATAGCTGTAATTTTTTTTCTCAGACAATTACACGAATCATTTCATATGTGTAATAATCTGTGGTCTCATAACATTATGGTTTGAAACAAATGCACACAGTATACATCCTCATGTACCAAACGCACTTTCCTTACAACAACCCCTCCTCCCCCTCACTCTGTTTCTCAAGTAGAGTGACTCCAAGATGCAGCTCCAGGGCTAGAGTTTCTCCTCCAGGCCGTCCTCACCGGTTCCACAAACCCAGCCCGGCCCAGACCGCCTTGGGTAAATCCATGATGTCCCTGGGACACCTCACCAAGGGGGCGAGCTGGGAGGAGCTCATCCAGGCCTGTCTGCAGTCTTTCGGTAAGTCCATGCTGACCTGCCTTGGCAGTTTTGTTGAGTGTGACAAGGTGGAATACTGCTGTGAAGTGTACAGCAGGAGCAGAGATGTTTGACTTGAGCTGTTCTGGAGAGCTTGTCTCTGCCATTGAGAAACAATAAGATTGGAAGCTTAGACAATGGAAACCGTGCTTTGTGTTTTGTCACATGTTGTAGTTTCTAAGAAGTCTCTGTTTTTCGCACCACTTGTCCTGGAATTTTGCTGCAAATCTCTGACAAGTTTGGGCAGGCTTCTAAAGAAGAGGAGGGTGGTGTTTTGCATTTGAAAGTAAAATGGATTCTCAGCTGCATTTGTTTTTGTTTAATGTAAGATTTTATATTTTGAAGATGAAATCACTCCCATTGATGCTTGCCAATGTCTGATATTGTGATTTTCGGCACTGTATTTGTCTATTACTGTATTAGTATTAATATTCAACTGGATACAAGATTAATAGAGGGTTTTTTTCTTAATGAAAAAAGCACAGCAGTGATTGAGGAGGCTGTAGCTGGATCAATCAAGCAAAGATCATTGGCTTCATCAAGTTGTCTGGAGTGCTCTCAGAGTTATGGTGATTGCGTCTCTGAAGAGATGAGCTTTCAAATTGCCGTTGCCTGGTTACACAAATGGAGCAAGAGCAATGGAGAGGTGTTACAATGAGCTGCACATAAAATGACATCCCATAACGACATTTATCTGTAGAGAGGCAGAACCGGGCAGTAATGCCGCTCATTTCAGATTCATGAAGGAAACAGGATTAATCAGAAGAAGAGTTGAGTAACTCCAGAATACAATAATATTGAGTGCCGTGAACCACTTCCTTGAGGAAAAAAAAAAAAAAAAAGAAGTGATCTCGGTGTCACTATGCAAAATACTAGATTCATACGCACATGCTCAAGATATTATCTGTCAGTACGGTGTTATGACTGGGGTTTTCCTTGAATGGCCTCTCCTGATAAAATGGAGCTCCGTCCTGTTCCTCCTGCCCCACATCACAGGCGAACCCCCCAAGGTCCATGAGTCCTGCCACCTTTTTCAAATGTGAGAGTGCACGTAAGAGCTATTTGAAGGATTACCTGATGGCAGCTTCAAGCCTGGCTGAGCCGAAAGGTCAGCTCCCCAAACAGTGGTCCTCAGATGCTGACCAGCCTTTGAAACGCAGAGCACTATGAGGTGTGGATCAATAGCTGTTGACATCATCAGTCTCTCTAGACCACACTGCACTGGGCTCCATGGCACGCTCTGATCATGCCCAGCGTCATCCTAATTCATATATACTTTGTTGTTGTTGGGTTTTTTTTTTTTGTAAAAGTTAGATTTAATTTCAGATTTTTATCAGTTATCATGTATAAAATCTGTAATTATCAAACCCAAACTTCAAAATAATAGAGTAAGGTTTTTACTGAGCTGACGGTTCACCTTCACCCTCAGCAGCGGTTCCCAGCCTTTGTTATCAGACGTATAACCCCATCAGATAAACTCATGCACGCCTTCACCAATACTACCTGTCATGTTCCAAACATGTTCATTTTGATTGATTTTATACTGGATAAAAATCAATATAACAGTGGATGGTACAGTATTTTTTTTTTTTTACACAACTGAACAGCCTGACTATTTCAATTATTTATCCATTGCTTGAATCAACTATTAACAAACTGTTTTACATTACTTTTAGCCATTTTGGTCTGTTTCAGTTATTTATTTACTTTACGCTGCTTATTTTGACAAGTTATCAATCTGTTTTTACCATTGATCCATTACTTTTAGCAACTGCCTCAACTTCTTTTCTCACTTGCTAACTAGTTTTTTGTGCACTCTTGATCAAGTGGTGTTTTATATATACAGTACATATTTAAATCAAATTATAATTTCTGTTTTATCAAATGAGTTGAGCTACTCCACAGTCTTTTGATGTATCCCTGAGAGCTGCAATAGTAGCCCTGGTCAGGAATCGCTGCTCTAAACTATAAATAGTTATCGTGATCCTGATTATTATGGAGAATTTTGCACAGCATACAGAGAGATAACCATCATCCTGCATCTAACTTGGATTCCTCTAAAACAAAGGGACCATCCAGCTTGATAGCCTCTGTCATAACAAGGAAACATTCATGAGCCACACCAGACCTGCGTGTGGCTGATGAATGTCTAAGATAACCTTAAAAGCAGGCCAGGCGCTGTGTGCCCTCTGCAGTGTTTATCGCCATATAGTATCGTACAGTTCCAGTGTAGCGGGCAGCAGCTTTCCTGATTTTTCCAGTCACTAACACACAGTCCAGAGGGGATTTCCTCTTGCATTTAACCCTGCATGGGGTGGGTTAGTGGTTGGAAAGTTGTGAAAAAAAAAAAGGATGGAGCAATTGTTTACTTGATGGGGAGTCATGACTTCCTGTTGTGCATTTGCCGCAGTTCTGACTCTGGCTGATTCACACCTGACTGTGTGGAGATTGTGAGCTAAAACAAAAGTGGAAATTGTTAGAACAGGCGGTTCGGTATTGCTTTATGTATATTAACTGCATCTAAGCTTTGCTACTTTAACAGCCATATCATTTTGAATACAAGACATTGTTTCACATGTCTCTTTCACTCTGTTGTTGACTCAACTGGTGAGGTCACTGGATTTAGCTGTTAGTGGCTGTGTCTTACAAACAGAAACACACCCCATGCAGGATATGAGGGCTGGATTAGTCAGCTGCGGCTGGAGTGGTGAGTTGCTTACAGATAACAAAGATTTGAAAACATGTTGCCATGGCGTCTGAGGTATTTCCAAGGTGATGTGGTTTAAATGCGGGTCCTCAGATTCCTGCTGTCCTTGATGGTGTCAAGATACTGCCAAAGCTTAAAGGCAAACTCAGCTCTACAATTCACAAATGTTCTTCAAATTTTCAGCACGATGTGTTCATATTCTACAGATTGTGGGAGGAAGATGTAAACAGCCTAAACTGTCTGTCCATGGTATATAAATAATATTCTCAGAGCTACAATTAAATGGTCTTCCTCTTTATGTCAGCCACTAATTCACTGCATGTCACAGTGGTTTGAAGTTTCGCAGAGGATAAGTGGTGTGTTGGTTCACTTAAGTGGGCTGGTAAATGGGTTTTCTGCAATTATAGGTCAGATCTGGTATTGTGATGTTATGGAATAGTTTTTCACGCATATTGTATTCTTTTTGTTTTTTTCTTTTTTTTTCAAAGTGCTTGAGTCAGACAAGAAAGATAAGGAAAGGTAGTCTGATCACAAAGAGAGGAAGCGAAATATGTAAGGAGAGAGGAAGCGACAAAGGTAGTGAGACATGCAAGCTGCAGAGGTTCACACAGTCAGAGGATGAGGCAAAGTTGGGGTCTGTGGATAGTATGTTCAAATGCACTAGGGTGGGCATCAGTCGGTGTTTCACTTAACCCTGTGTTCTCCATTGATGGAAAGAACAATCTGTGTTACAGTTCTCATAGATAACACCTGAGGTTTATACAGTTGTATCTTTCTTTACTTCCTCATAGTCCTCATCTCAATTATTTATTTACATAATGCAGTCTGTCCATCGTATCACTATCGCATGGAAATAGTAATTAATATTTTGACTGTTATGTCTTTTTGTTTTGATCCAAATTAAGACTAGATGGGTATTTTACTTGATTAGAGCGACAACTAATGATTATTTTGATTATCAAGTAATCCAGCAACTATGTTTTTAAATTCATCATGTTTAAAATGTCCAACATTTATATAAGTACATATGTATTTAAATGTCTTCATATTCACTTAATAATCACAACAAACAGACTGGAAATGGGGATTGTGTGTGTGTGTGTGTGTGTGTGTGTGTGTGTGTGTGTGTGTGTGTGTGTGTGTGTGTGTGTGTGTGTGTGTGTGTGTGTGTGTGTGTGTGTGTGTGTGTGTGTGCGTGTTGTAGATAGCTCTTTCCAAACCCCAGTCTAATTTGTGGAATTATATTATTTTCATTTGTATCATTTAAATTAGTGAAAGTATTTAAATGATAGGAAATAAGCTTCACATATGTGGACTGTTCATTTAATGTAAGATATGCAGGAGAAAAACACAAACACCAATTCCCTGCACTTCCCTTATTAAAAAAAAAAAAAAGAAAAAGAAAAGAGGGTTAAGGTCAGTGCATAGAATGAAACACAGAGACACTGTACTAACAGAGTGTTATAGCCTTGAAAGAGGCCCTGTAGCTAAGCAGAGGTGATCACATCCCTTTTGTCGCATAAGTGATGTTCCTGTATATTCTAGATAAGGCTGCCAAACTTTCAAAAAGGTGTTATATCTTTTTCTGAGCATACATGCTTTAATTTAATTTCTGAAGAACATGTAATCAAATGGGAAATCGCATTTCCATGTCACTGTGATGCAGACATGTTGTCACTTTGATTAAATGATGGTACACTCAAGTGTGTGCATTTTGTCTTGCAGACTCGGATGGTTGTGTATGTGGGAGCAGCCACTTGTTGAACATCACCCTGACCATGCACCGTTCCCTCATCTCCTCCAGTGATCTGCTGGACAAACTCATTACTCTATATCCTTTATCAAGCTATAACCGCTATCGCAACACAGCCAGACAATTCAAACAGTGCGTTTGGCCTGTTTTTAGCACCAAATGCAACATGGGATCAGGCCACTGGCTTTCTGTGTGCTGCTTTCATTTGGTTGTCAACAGCAACGGGCAATCAAGCTTGTACTTGGCTTACAATGCCGCCTGTAGCTGTCAGTGTAAAATCTGATAGGCGAGTGGCAGTTCATGTTTGCTCCTGCTGCCAGTTGCTGTAGACATTTTACATCTCTGTCATTTAGCCATTTTTAGCTGCCCTGTGTAAATTTCCTTCACTGTACCCCATGCTAGTAACAGGGAATCTGTCCTCATTGTGTATTTGGTCTCTTTCAGAATGTTTGATTTCATTTTCCCCACTTCACACTTAAAAAAAAAAGCATGTTTTTCTTGTAGTGTCTTGTGACTTGAGTAGAGGGACTGTAATCTACGCTTCCATTCAGGAAACAGCAGTGGCGTCAAAAAGCCTCTCAGAGGAGCTTAGTGGCCTGACGAACAGCCTTGAGGTTTCAGGTGTTAATTACCTCTGCCTCTTTCACATACAAGACCTCTTCAACTATATATAAACATAGACCCTCTATTGCTTAAAGAGGCCCCTGCTCACACGAACCCACGTCAGAGCATGCAACGCCGAATGGCCCCTCTGCTATTTTTAACCCTCTCACTCTGAGCTGAAGACCCAAAGGGATACATCAAATAAATTCAGTGTGTGGGTTAGGATCAGGGAAGAGACACCGGGGCCATTAACAGCCTTCATCACAGTCTGGCCTTGGGATTGCGTGGGCCGTTCTTCTGCTCCCATGACGCAATTAGCCTTTTTATGTGCAACACTTCAAGCTGATTTCTGCCAATTGAGAGCCACCGTGTTGGTCTATTTATAAAAGCTGCTTCGTATAATAATAATGAACTGCTTTTGTGTGTACTGTATATAAATTGACAGGCCAGTGTTTTTGTGGTCAACATGTGCAAAATGGAGGGCAGAGCAACCACAGCTATGAATTATGATCTTATGGGCAGACGGCATTGATTAAAATATCTTCCGAGTCCTGCCAGTAAACAATGCACATTAATCAACAGTTTTTCTCCAGAATAGGCGACATTGATTGTGTACTTTCTTTTTACATTTTGTTATTCATTTACTCCTGTATGCCAGAATGATTCATTCTGGGATGCTCGTCTGGGTTTTGCTTCATGCAGTCGCCTCCTCCCACGTTTCCAAATGTCACTTCTCTTTGCCTTTTAGTTGAGTTGCTGTAGTTATTAATGAGTTGTTTGTAGGGAAGACACTCTGCAGTCTAATCAGCCATATGTTCGTTATTTACTCATAACATACCTGTCGTGAACAGTGTCGAGGATCAGCAGATTTACTGGCGAGATATTTTCACCTAAAACAAAAGTGTGGCGAAACCTGTATTCCCGCTTTAACTTTCAGGTGATAAAACCTGGTTAATAATCATCATCTGTCAACTTCCTTAACCACAGTCCTTACATTCAAAACAGCGCTGGACAATGAGCAGCCAACAGAGTGCCAGAGGATATGCTACCTCATCAGGTCAGTCCAACACACTGACACATTTTCAGAGTGTAACGTTAACTGTGTGTTTTGTATCAGTCACGTGGTTTCGTCTCCGACCTCCAGGCATTGGACCCAGGAATTCTGGATGATGTTTCGGTTGCACCACAGCTTGTCAGACAGCCTGGACGAGTTCCGGGAGCTGATCAGAGAGCAGGGACAGGAGCATCTTTGCCCTCTTCTAGAGACCAAATGGATGTAAGTGTTAATCTCTGACCAGCTGGCAACTGAGACATTTGGCCTTCACGACTCTCAGTTGTTTGTTGAGTCATGGAAAGTACGGAAATCAGTCACGATCAAGAATCCAGACTTTGAACTGTGAACTGTTTAACTCTGAGGCTGTTAAATGAGCTTTAAAGTAGATCAAATGCTTGATTTGCTTTTGTCACACTGCTTCACATCACATTTACAGCACATGTATATGCTGCATTTGTGTTTCCTTGTTTCCTTGTGTTGCTATATCTCACACTTGACCCCACAGTGTCAAGGGAAATATTCAGACTGGAGCTGCAGCTAACTATTATTTTCAATGTATATTAATCTGCTCATTATTGTCTCATTTAAGCACCTGATCATTTAATCTGCAAAATGTGTATGTCACAGTTTCCAAGGTGACATTTTTAAATCTCTTCTTTTGTCTGACCAGCAGTCCAAAACCCAAAGATATTCAGTTTATATCATAGAAGGATCATAAAAAAATCAGCAACTTCACAATAGAGAAGCAAAAAAAGTCAATACTGAATTTCTGCCATTTTGCTTGAAAGTAATTTTAACAACTTAACTGACTTAATTAACTGCAACAAAATTGTTGCTAATAATTTTCAGTCCATTGATCAATTTTTCAATCGACTTATTGTTCCAGCTCTATTCTAATTCAAAATGATGTATTTGTGAAAATGTAATCTGTGTTGTGGTTGAGCATGTTGGTATCTTTGTTCGTGTTTTTGTTGACTAAAATAAAAATAATGCTCTGTGGCTTTTAGAAATGTCTGTTTGAGCTTATACTGATATGCACAACAATGTCTAAAACTGTAATTTTCCAGATTATAAAGTCATGCCGACTTTGCTGATTGTAAATGTTGTCATGTTATGCTAACATGTTGTTTTCTAGAAATGAACGGGACTGGTCATGGAAGGCCAGCCAGAAGATCAAAGCTAACAGCAGTAAAAAGAGGAAAGTTTCTCTTCTTTTTGATCACCTGGAGCCCATTGAGTTGGCTGAACATCTCACCTACCTGGAATTTAAATCTTTTTGCAGGATATCAGTGAGTATACACATTCATGTCAACTCAAAAAAAAAAAAAAAAACATTCAGATGTACGTAGGTTATCTTTTGCACTTTGATGATTTGTTTATTGCACAAGCTTCTTCTAGTATTTCCTCCCCACGGTAAATGCCTTGCAGTTTCCGTGCAGCAGTTCATGCTCCTCTCTCTGCTCTCTCTGCCAGTTTGTCGACTATCAGAATTACATTAGCAACTGCTGCATGAAGGACATTCCCGTGATGGAGCGTTCCATTGCCCTGTGTAATGGTATCTCCCAGTGGGTTCAGCTGATGGTGCTGAGCCGGCCAACTGCTCAGCTGAGAGCTGAAGTTTTCACCAAGTTTATCCACGTGGCACAGGTAGTGGTTCAATCAGCCCCTCACTACGACTCTCACAATTCCTGTTCCTCGTTGAGCAAAACCGTATTTTACACGTTCGTCTTTTGCTTGCATCTACGTGCTATTGTTCACACACCTTATCTAACTAATGACAGTCTATTGTCACACTCTGAGCAACACTATAGATGCTACATAATTGGCAGTTGCATAATGCATATTCATAGAGAGCTGGTAATGATTCTCAAGAGCTCTGCTGCAGGCTTTTAGCATATCCAAAGATTTTACCAATAGAAAAATATTAACTGAATACAAGCTAATGGAGTCATCTGGTAGAATACACTTACACTCTGAGGAGTTTGTGGAAGCAGAAAAGAGAAAGAAAGACTTGTGAGTGTAGCTGCTGATCAGACCTTGCTTGTTAAAACCACTTCAATGTGAAGCTGCATGCAGCCTGCTGAGAAGTGATGCACCAGCTTCAGGGAGCCGTTAGGCAGGCTTGTACTCGGGAGGACCTCCCTTTAACACTAATGCACCAGTTTGCTGCTGCTCACTGCCGTGAACCTCAAAAACCCATGGGTGTGGAAACGAATTTCACACCATAATGCTCCAGTGACAGCACAAATTACAGAACTGAAAGGAAGGGAAGAGAAAAGCACTTCCAAAAAGAGTGAGATATCAGGGCAGTAAGAAAAGCTAACAATACAAGTGGCTTATGTAACAGCAGTGTTGCAAATTACATAACCTGGCCTTCCTGGAGCAAGTTAAATTGTGCATGTGTGTAAGTGTATGGATGGACTGATATGTGTGCTTTTTATGTTTGCATCCACCAGAGTCTACATCTTATGCACAACTACAACACACTAATGGCGGTGGTAGGAGGCCTTTGTCACAGCTCGATCTCCAGACTGAAAGACACCACCTCACATGTACCTAGTGAGGTCACCAAGGTAAAGGACAGCTAAACACATCTCTGATCCCTGGTTTTTAAATGAGACAAAGACCCAAATAATTCAAATAAATTCAGTGTGTTGGTTAAGAGCAAAACATTCAAAAAATTCTATTCACTCCCCAGGTACTGAACGAGATGACAGACCTACTGTCCTCATGCAGAAATTATGACAACTATAGGCAAGCTTACAACAGGTGTACAGGTTTTAAAATCCCTATCCTGGGCGTCCACCTTAAAGACCTGATTTCAGTCAATGAGGCCATGTCAGACTACGTGGAGGACAACAAGGTCAATGTCCAGAAGCTCCAGGCTCTCTACAGCCACATTAATGAGCTGATCCAGCTCCAGCAGATCCCACCCAGGCTGGACGCTAACAAAGACTTGGTCCATCTGTTGACGGTAGTGCACCTTTCAGTTAGAGTCTTTTTAAATTGTTATGTAGCTTCATGTGATTCACTGCATTGTACTAAACGCAAGCACAGATGCAAATGAGCATGTTAAAGCATGTGGATTGTCCGCGCTTGTGTGGGTGTTATGAGAGTCTATGATCTATGAGTGTGTGGGTGATGAACTGAGTGTGAATGAGAGTGAGTTGAGATTGCTGTATTGTTGTGCTATCTGTGTGCAGCGCTTTAATCGCACTTGAACGCCAGAATGCCCATGAAGAGATAATAGTTAGCCTGTGACCTAAATTTGCCCTCATCAAAACATGTTTCAAGGAGAAATCCAGAGGTACAGAGAGCTCTTTCTCTTTCTGTTTACAAGCCATGTGCTGACATATGTTGTCTCTTTCCCCACAGCTGTCCTTGGACCTTTACTACACCGAGGATGAGATCTATGAACTGTCTTACGCCAGGGAACCTAAGAACTGTAGAGCACCTGTGAGTGATAAAAGCAGACACTTTAAATGAACACCTGTTTAACAGCTGGCTTTAAAGCAGTACTCTGACATTTTGGGAAATACCTTTTATTTGCTTTGTTTTCGACAGTTAGATGATAATATTAACTCTCATGTCAGTACAGGAAATCTGGAGCTTCAGCCAGCAGCTGGTTAGCTTAGCTTAGCTTAGCTTAGCTTAAAGACTGTAATTGTGGGAAACAGCTAAAGGAATAGTTTAACATTTTGGGAAATACACTTATTTTCTTTCTTTTTGAGAGTTAGATGATGAGATCAATACCACTCTAGTGTACGCTAAATATGGTGCTAGAGCCAGCAGCTGGTAGCTTAGCTTAAGAGAATACATGGGGAAATGGCTTTTAATAAGCTAGGAGTCTAACAAAATTCTTTCATTTAAATTATTTTAAAAAAGCAGAGCAATACTTAAAGGAATAGTTGATATTTGGGGAAAATACAGCAAAGTTTACAGCACAAGCTTCTTGTGTTTATCCTAAATAAACAAGCTGCTGGCTCTAGCGACATACTTTTCATTAGGGTGGTATTAATCTTCTCATTTAACTCTCAGCAATAAAGCAAATTAGTGTATATCCCAAAATGCCTAAATGTGTTTCTAAGCATTGCTCAGCTTTTTTTAAACTAATTATTTGACTCCTAGCCGGTTGACAGTGTTGCTTTTGCTTCTGAAGAGCGCTGTGCATCAATTTAGTGTAATAGACCATATTTTACATGTTTATCTGCCTGGTCTTGCTTGTTTTTGTTTTACATGATATTATATTTATTATGTTATAATTTTCTATCAGCCAGCCACCCCTTCCAGACCTCCAGTGGTTGTTGACTGGGCACCAGGAGTGGCTCCCAAACCTGACCCCCGAACCATCAGCAAACATGTTCAGAGAATGGTGGATGTAAGTGCTTACGTTTTTAAAGTGCAGCCTCCACATAGCTACTCAGTAAAACTATTATATAATAATAATAATTGATTTTAACTATTCTTCTGCATGCTGCCATTTTGACAGCCTACTGTTGCAGCTATTGTTCACTAACATTCGAGCAACAATGGGTTTTGCCTCCTGTCTTTCACAGTCTGTGTTTAAGAACTACGATCACGACGAGAATGGCTTCATTTCACAAGAGGACTTTGAGAAAATTGCTGCTAGCTTTCCTTTTTCTTTCTGTGTCATGGACAAAGAGAAGTGAGTGTTTGACAGGTCGCACACTCACTCCAAGCTCATTTGTGACTTCAGTGGAGAGGAAGCAAAAGTGGTATTTGTAGTGATGACTGTAGCAACAGGAAACATAAAATAGCTGCAGAACTAACCATAACCCCCACCGCTAAATATTCACTCTTTTATTTCTCACGCACACCCAGTGGTGTACGATGCTCACAACCTAGAGAGGCACATGTGATACCTCAATTAGACCTAAATGTGAAACCCACAACAGTTAATATTACCATGTATTACCAAGTGGTATACAGTGTTAAGCACATGAGGCAGAAACAGATATTAAAGTATGTATATTAAATGTGTATTAATATGTTTATTTCCCATAAATATTGTATCATTTACAGCTCTGTTTTCTTTATTACATTATACTGTGTATGATTTGGGGATGTGCAGGGAAGGCCTTGTCAGCAGAGACGAAATCACGGCCTATTTCATGCGGGCAAGTGTCATCTGCTCCAAACTGGGGCTTGGGTTTGTCCACAACTTCCAGGAGGCGACTTACATGAAACCCACTTTCTGTGACAACTGCTCAGGATTTGTAAGTAAACACACAAACTCAAGGATAAGAGTGTATGATGAAATACCGAAACTGTTTACTGCTGTGTCGGTGTCTATAAATACTCAAACAATATAATATTTAATTTGGTTATTAGTCTTGCTTTTGCTTGTTGATATTAAGTTATGTGAAGGGTGTTTTTTTTCTTCTTCACAGTTGTGGGGTGTCATCAAGCAAGGCTACAGATGCAAAGGTAGTTATTCACTCACTCTATATTGTGCAACTTTGGCATGTCTATCTTTGGCCAAATGTGAGTATCATTTTATACTGAGGAGAGGCGCACACAGTGTCTTGTGGGGAGCAGGTAAAGTGAAGCTATCTTAGGAAGGTGTACTGTGGTTTTCTGTGTTGCATATTGAGAGCTGAAACTTGCAACACATGAAAAAAAAAAAAAAGTCTGCAGTCAGAACCACAGTTTTCCCCCTCCCCCGTCCTTCAAAGGATCTGAGAACTATTTGTTTGCTTGACAGTAAGCATGCAAAGGTCTCACAGTTGCATTTGCAGAACAGATAGTGTTCAAGCAGAAGTCACTAGAAGTCAGTTTGTCAAAGTTAGACTGATGCTAGTTCCTGTTCTGACATGTTATGCATTCTTTTGGCTTCCTCAGATTGTGGGATGAATTGCCACAAGCTGTGCAAGGACCAGGTGGCGTTTGAGTGCAAGAAGAACACCAAAGTGTCCAACGCCACTGACAGTCCGACGCCGAGCTCCACGCCTGTCACCATGGGCACCTCAGAGGGTGGGTTTGAGGTCATTTGAAGCATAAAAAGTCCCATTAATACACACGCATGCACGCACGCACACACACACACAGTATTATTCATCACAACAAATAAAGAAGTATGCAGACCATAACATGCATCTAACATGGAAGTTATCACTAAATCTCTATGATGTGCCATCTGGTGGCTGAGAGTTGTTACATATACTGTGTGTGGTTTAACCAAGAAATCTTATTTCCTGTAATCACTGCCTGACACACTACAGAAAAACTGTTAAAATCTGAATTTCAGAATTTACACAATTTCACGTTAGTTTGCAGAAGCTGAAAGACGAGAACAGGGTCTGCTGTCTGGGTGATTTCCCTCTAGCTGTCATTATAAACTGTTTCATTTACAGTAATACTGAAGCACCCACCAGCTACAAGAAAGTTAGTCTTAAGATCAGAAGGACTTTCAGTTTTACTTAATATGCACTGACGCATGAAGACACCAGGGCTATATTAACATAGCCCCTATCTAAACAGTCTTTATGTTATGCTGTTTTAAACATTACTTCACTCGAAGTCACTTTGTTTTGTGGTCATTGATTCCTTAGATATAAAAATCAAGTATACCACAATTAACAACCTACACTTTTCATTTGTCCCATTTGAAATCATTTCTCATGATGTCCCACTCTCCAGGTTCAGAAGAATGTCCTTTCCCCTACCCAGCAGATGACAGCAAAGACTGGAGCCCAGACTCCCCGTTCACCTCCCATTCCAAGCCCCAGAGGGTCCATAGTGGCACCCAGACAGAGGGACCCCAGCTATCCTCTGCAGCTGCCGACCTCAGTCGCTCTCAGCCTTCTCTGTTAGTCCCAACAACACCTACCCTCACTTCGTGTCCCAGCCCGGTGCCCCAGAGAAAATACTGTGCCAAGTGGGAAAACAGAGCTTCTGTTGTGCATAAGCCTAAAGAACCAGAAGAAGAGAGCAAACCCACCTACGAAACTCTGGAATCAGTGAGTGTCAGGACCAAGTTTCTATTTTCCCCTCTAACTACTACAGCACTTGAATGCACCACAGCTATGTCATACAAATCTTCTGTGTCTTTCCCAGGACAACCAGAAGCTGCAGAAAGCCAATGAGACACTACGTAGGAAGCTGAAGGAGACAGAGCGGGAAGTGGAGATACTAAAGACACTGCTAAAGAGGCACGCTCTCCACCCCGTGGAGGAGGATTCCTCGTCCTAGACTTGTACATACATTATACTAAACCTTCTCCAGGGAGACTGCTGCTGCCCCCTATGGCATCATGCATAATTCTGGATCCAATATTTAACTTATTGGTCATGAACAGTGCAAGTAATTTATCAGTATAATGAGACCCAGACAACATGGCATCACATGGTATGAAGTGAGAAACATTGCACATATCCAGTAGAGGTGTTCTAATGCTGTAATGTTAGACAGCCAATCAAAAAAGCCAGTCAGTATGTCACCAATAATGAGGTTAAGGACATTTTTAAGCTGTGTATGGAAGCTACAGCACATAGTACAGCGAATACAGTTTACCAATTAACAAAAAACATATCAAAATAACTGTATAGTATGAAGATGCTAAAAAAGGCTGTAGTGTTATATTTAAAAAAGTGAAGGAGCCCCTTTACTGTACAGTTTTACAGAAGAATGAAAATCATCGCAATGAGCATTAGTTACAGAATTTAATGAACCCTTAAGAGTAGTTGCAGTTGGTATGGGGGTTTCTGTTAAAAGTATGTAAACATGAAAAAAAAAAGCCATGAATGAAGAAGTGCAGTATTTTAGACAAAATATGGCAGAATGTATTTGATCGATTCTTGATCAATTAATGGCCTTGGATATTTATGTTAAACATAAAATGGAAATCGGGGGCTGCGGTAAAATGAATGCAGCTATATATTTTTCAAAAACAAGAGGATTGTGGCTTATATGACGGGTGCGTTACTACTATTGTTTTTATTAGTACTAACGAGCCCACTGATTAAAGCAGCAGAATGAAAGTTCAGCACTGTCAGAATGGCCTCAGATGTACAGAACTGTTGTTGCTCTGCATCATTGTCCCTGTTCATATCAATGCACAAGATGTTTTCAGTGCGTCTGTTAATATTTATTGTCTGAAACACTACACAGTTGATATCAAGAGTGAGACAAATGAACATTTTGTACAGTATGGTGGTACTGTCAGTGAATTATTTATGCTTGTGTGTGTTGGCATCATATTGATCCTTATTATTTTTATTGTGCAGCCATGTCATCGAATTATTGTGCAGTCCACTGTAGCAGTGTTGTACTGTGAACGGGAGTCAAGATGGGTGTGTTTGTACTGTGTGTAATGTACTGTAAATACAAAGTATACACAGTGCCATTCTAGCTATATCAAGATTCATCTCTCTCTCTCAGTATTGTTTTATTGTTGTAATAAACTGTAAAATCATTGCCTGTGTTACTCTACTTGACCACTGGAGGTCACTAAAGCCTCGTAATATTTCCTCAGCTTCTTACTAATGATTGTTGTCTTTCAGTTTGCAGATTCCCAGCTGCCCGCTCTGTAAATGTTGCACTCTAATTAGCTATCTGTGTGTTTAACTGTAAGACTGTTTCTGTCAAATTAGAGACCAAAAAACATCACAGGCAGATCATTTTCTTTGTGATGTCGTGGTTAACTTTAAATGAGGTAGCTTTTAATGTCAAATTTATTTTTAATTAAGAGAAAAAGAGAGTTTAATAGGGGAAAAACTAATGTAGAACTGCAGTTAAGAGATAAATCTCAACATCTGCAGTGCATTGTTTGCTCAGTATGAATGAGATGGATGCATTTCTGAGACGTAAACCTTTTCTAAAGACAGGATGTGTGTCACCCTGTTGTCTGGAGACTGTGCCAATCTGCCCCGTCCCTTGGGCTTTACTGCTGGTAATGAGTCCCATCTCCAAAGTTAGCATTGGCCTGTCAATAATGAGAGGGCAACTGTCTGCTCCTGGAGAAGCGCAAATTCAAACCAGGTACCTAATCCTTCAGATCCCGTAGATTTCTCTCAGCCATACTGCAATCACCAGGTGATTTCACCCTGCTATATTCCTGGTGCTGTGATTCAGCATGTACGTTTCTATAGTGGCAATTCATCCTCAGATAAAGAAAGACATTTGACTCAAATTACATAGTGCCTCTTCACTTCTTACAGCCATAATGACTTGTTGCCTTACATTGGCCAGGCAGTGAGCAGAGACCTGGTGAAAAGGGAGAGTCTCTGAGGCGTAGCAGAAGCTCCCCAAGCCTAGCCTCGGTGACAGCTAATTTACTTCTATTTGAATTTGACACCCAGCTGCAGGGGAGTAACACCCCAAGTCTACCAGGATCCATGCACACTAATGCTGAATAATTTCCAATATCATGGCTGGCTGAGAGAAAGTGACATAGAGAACATGTGTTAAACTCGAGGGACGTTGCCCCGGCAAAGGCTGCTTCATCCCCCATCAAGGCTGTAACACAAGCTTGAGAGGAGAATTGCATTTACCCTGACATATTAAAGCAGTCATCATAAAGATAAATATATCAGTCTAAAGTCCATTTACAAACCCAACAGAGAGTGTAAACATAATTAATTGTGATGCATTTAAGCCTGAAGGAGATTGCAAGACATATGTAGACAAGCTGATACAGAGTATAACTCAGCCCTCCATACATTGAGAGCAAAATATGACACTTCAAAAGTCAGTCTAATTAAAGTGGGCAGACAGAGATGATTTATCACCCAGACATCAGTGTACTCTGGGGAATTGGGCCACTGTGAGATACCCATAAGTTAACTAAATCTGCTAAGTCTAATGAACACACTCTCCGAAACTAATTAGGGAAAGATGTGGAACACCCAATTATGTCCCCCTGAAAGCAGAGTGTGGGACACAGAGAGAACACAACCAGAACACAACACATTCAACACACAGGCAATGCTCATTTTCAAACGCGGAGAAGAGCTAGTACCGACTGCAATGCCTGTAGGATACAGCGGCGCCACAGTCGAACTCAACTCCACTAATTCCCTTGATTATTAAACTGAGTTCATTAAGTTCTAATGATGGCCGAAGGAGACTCGCGGAAGGAGCAAGGAGAGGAACTGTAGTGAAGGCGAGGAGGGAAGAGAGAAAGAGACACGCATTTTGCGGAAATTCTTTCTGGAGGTGGCTTGGAAATTGTTTGAAGCCATGGTGAAATTTTTTAATTAACCTTGATGATAGCAGAGGAGTGTAACAAGAGAAGGGCTGTGCAGGAATTTCGCCAAGAGAAACATCATTGCTCAGCTGTGTCCCTTTTTGGCCTTTAATAATCATGTAGTGTTTTTTTTTTTTTTTTAGCTAGATAATACAGACGAAATCCACTTATCAGTTCCTGGTAAATGCAGAATGGAGAAACAAGAGGCAAAGCCTGAAGCTCATACAAGGGTAATGAATTTGTTGGCAACAGTGTGGACTGTGAAAGAACCCACAAAAGAAACATCGGCTTACATTTTGGCCTCTGAAGTCCTTAGAATAAAGCTGTCTACACACATAAAGCAATCTATGGGTGCAGAGAGTCTGGAAGTATCCAATGAAGTGGCTTCATAACTTCATGTTGGCATACCAGGCAATGTAACCCTCTCTTCCTGTAGTAATGGTCCCCCACTGGGTTTGGCACAAGCATATATTTTGGCTCTAGATAAAGAAGCATATAGATGCAAATAAAAGCCAAAAACTCTATTCTTTAATCAGGTTGTTTATGCATGCTGTGTGTTTCAGTTCTTCTTGTTCGTCACCGTATATAACAATACACATCATGAGAGAGGAAACAGGATACAGCTCGCAGTTACATGTTGTTTTGGTGATGTGAGATTTATGTTAATATGCAATTCACCAGTGCAGCTGCCAGAATGATTTATGATTGATTTCCATTCCCTGTTATTGCTCCTCAAGGTGAACTTTGGTGGAACGCGATGGTGGAATAAACAGAAAACCATTTCTAAATGTTGCAAAGGCTCTGAACTGTGCTGCATGTTGGATCTGAATTAAACAGCAGATTGTTCGAATGTCTTGTTTCATATTTTATGTGGTTTATTTAGTAGAAGTCGAAGTTGTACATCATGAAGCTGCCAGATTACAGCGTGGTGCTTGATGTAAAGGCTATATAATATCTAACAGAACAAATACTGCAAAGCTAGACCGCAAGGGAGGAAGAGGAAGATTTATTGATGAAAAAAAGGGAAGCAGACTGGTGGGGAAAAAAAGGACAAGAGTTGAGAGAAGAGCAGATGCTGGAACAACCACAGCGCCTTAGACAATCAGCAGAACCCTGAGAAACAACTCGTTGCCAAGATCAAGGAAAGTGAAGCATAGCACCGCTGCAGCAAAGGGACAAATATAGAGTGAGAAGAGGAGGAAGTAGTAGGAGGAGAGTGAGTTTCCCCTCACTGAGAATTTCTTATGAAGGTGAGTAACACAGAGCAAATCATGCATGTATCCAAAGCCGCTGAACTCAACATCTCCTTCTGTTTCCACTGAGCAGTGGGACACAGTTGGACTCCCCCACCCACCTGATGGGAACCACAGGCTGCTACTGCTTACAGTACAGCAACACAAAAATAGAACATGAAGTTCAGATCTCTGAAATCAAACATTGCACAATGTGATGCGGACCGTTTGTTGTGGTTTGTAACAGTTGTGTTTGCAGGATTTTTAAAGACGATATACTATAAAACAATCATCAATTAAATATCATTTTTAATGTTTTTTTTTTAAAAATATAACACCAGTGGTGCCCAAAGGCTTGAGATTCTTTGACATCCCTATTCATCTGTGCCACCAGCATGGCCAAAACCGCGTGTTACGATGTGTTTTTGGTGGCTTTGCATTACAATAAAATTATGTACAAGCCTGCAGATTTTCACTTATTGCCAAGTCATACACATTACAATAAACAGAGAACATTAACTTTAAATTAATTTCTACTCATCTTCTGCTTGTATTAGCAGAACTTTATTGTTTTCCTTGAGACAGGACCTCTACAGCTGCTGCACCTCATTTGCATATACCAGCCTGTAGATGGTATATTTGCACAGTGTATCTCCATGCAATCGTGGTTTGCTCCAATATGTAAGTTCCAGCAGGAGCTGATTCGTTGTGGATTTCATAGAAGTAGACTGAAAATAAAAACCATGAGGACAAATTTAATAACCGGAGTAATGTTTTTTGTATTAACACATTGTGCAGAGTGTGATGGCACATAAAATGAATAATGTGTAATAACTTCTGCATGTCCGCTGAATATGTCCCCATAAAATACAAATTGGATGTAACTTTATACTGATAGAGAAAGGATATTCACAGGCAGCAAGTTGCATGTCATATTCAGTTATGTCTCCCGGATGGATTCATACTCTAATTAGGCCTTAGTTTGCAGTGGGCCAATATTTCCAGGCTTTTGATTTAACATTCTACGACCCTGGAACCTCACTGCTTGTGATATGCACTTCAACACATGGTGTGTTAATGCTAGAATCAAACCAAATCAAGCTCAAATTGCAGGGACCACAGGTTTTGAAACACTATCACTGTGCTAGAGTTGTGATAATTTGTTAAATGGAGCCTCAGTTTGCCTCAGCAATGCATCTGTGTATAATGATCAGTTGTTCACTGCAGCAAAAACACGGAGAGAGTGAGAGACTGTCCATTTACTCACATCACCACTCCCACACCCCTCCATCATGGCTGGCTGTAATAGTCACAGGACTAATGAAGGCCAGACCAGCAGGCTGTTTAAGAGTCTGATAGCTGCTGTTGGTTGACCACCCTCTGCCGCTCTCTCCAATGACCCCAGCTGTAGGGACGTGTCCGTGCGTTCAGCACAGCCTGTCTAAAATGCCTGGAGGACACAGTGACATATGTACCTCGCACATCATAACGGCACAAAGCCATTGATATCACTTACTGCTCCGAGGCGATACATCACTTAAAGGTCAGAAGTAGAGATGGTTCTATCACTCCTTCGTCATGTCTACTCTGTATTCTTTTTGAAGGTCACATCCCCAGGAGAAAAAGTGGGAAGGAGAGAAGCTGAAGCTATACAGTCACTGCATGGTGAGATAAAACAGATTGTAATGTACTATTTATGTTCAAAACAAACTGGTTTTTGTGTTGGTGCATGGCCTTGCTACAGCAGACAAAGCAATCAGAGGGACATTTGTTTACGGACAATTCAAAGTATAGGCAAATCACTAAAACTTGTGTCCAAGTCGAATCTCGAGTCCCCAGAGTCCAACTCTGAGTCACCAAAGAACCGTTTCATCATTTCAAAGGAGTTTATTTACTGTGTGTCACACAATAGCCAAACAAATGCACTAGTATCATGGCTCTGTACAATGAAAAAA